CACATAGGGTTGGTCCTGGGCTGATGACATGCGCCGTGTCTAGGTTCGTGGCCTAAGAGCAGCTAGGATCTGTACTGATGCCCAAGGCCCATGTTACCATGGGAACCATGCATGGACATGCTGAGCCAGACTCGCCCCAGGATAGCTAGTGCTGCCCCTTGCTGTACACTGTAGCAGGAGAACTAGCCCCGCCACCTCGCCATGGGAAAGTTGACCACAACACTCACCACAGGCAGAGGAGAGCTTTCCCTGATGGCATGGGCCTAGGAGAGCTGGCTGTGTCCCTTGACTGACGTAGTGGTCCCAATGGCCCATGCTGCCAGTTCAGCTACTACCCAGATACACATACAAAGCCTTGGATTGGCGCACTCTAACATCTGCCCAGTCTATGACTTGCTGGAGTGTGCAAAGAGACTGGTCTTGTAGAATGATATCCACAGGATCTTCATGACTGGAGGCAACAACAGGATATCCGAGAGGAGTTTTGGGGAGGGTCCAGCAATGATGGTGTGCCAGAATTCTTGAACCGGATTCACTGTAACAAATATTTTTGTGGGGGGGGTTGAATAGACAAAAGGGGTATACTGCATGACACATCACAGGTCCCAAGGCCACTAAGATGAATGAAGAGGTGTTGGAAAGATGGAGGAGTAAGGTGGGGTTTTTTTTCTTTGTTTGTTTTGTTCTGTTTTTATTTAATTTTGGGAGCATAGTGCAGGGGTGATATGCAGGGACTGGGATGTGAGCAGGATTGGGTGCATAATGTGAAATTTCCAAAGAACCAATCAGGAATTATTTTTAAAATAAAAAGATTATTCTTTTTTTAATATTTATTTATTTATTTATGTACACACTATTCTGTCTGTGTATATGCCTGCAGGCCAGAAGAGGGCACCAGACCTTATTACAGATGGTTGTGAGCCACCATGTGCTTGCTGGAAATTGAACTCAGGACCTTTGGAAGAACAGGCAATGCTCTTAACCTCTGAGCCATCTCTCCAGCCCCTAAAAAGAGTATTCTTATTGATCATAGAAACCTGGACACCTTTAGAAAACTCTTCGCATTTAGAAAGGCATCCCTGCTGAAAGAGACCGCAACTTCAACATAGCGAAATTCCAAAACAAGGACATTTGCTTTCCCTGGTGGCATGCAAAAATAAGACCAATAAGACCAAGGGGGTGGACTATGACTGACTTTCAGATAAGTTATAACTTGTTCTTGAAAACAAACAACCTGATATAAATAGTTGAGCCAAGATTTGAGAGGCAACCAAGGAGGTAGGGGTGTCATTAGAACAATGCTGGCAACAAAGTAGGCTACTACACACACTCTCTGCTACACATTAGGACCAGGAGAGGTCCCCAACCATGATCATCACAAGAGCCCTTGCTGCGCAACATACTAGCCACCCTCCGTTGGCTTGTGACATTTCTGTTTGTGTTAGCCATTCTTACCAAACAGCTCTATTTGGTGTTTATTTTATCTACTCCTCGATAATAGACCGTAAGTACTCTGATCAGAGGTGATTTGTAAAGGGCTCTCCAGTTTCTACTTAGTCTGACCAGGTGTTATCCTTGATGTCATTTATCACATTGCTCAAAGAACCAAGGCACCAATTAAGCACCTGGACTCAGAAAAGGGCTCATGCATTGCTGTCCTCTTTTACAGGGTTAAGGGGATCTGTAGAACAGTGTTGTGCCCTCCAATGCCTGGCATGCAAATGAGGGCAGTTCTGATAAGTCAGTGTTCCTTTTCATGATGATTTTAGGCAGCTTCTCTGTGTTCTTAATATGGCCACCTTAGTTTTGCCCTACTTGTGGCTTGCCAGCAATGAAGCCACCGTTGGAGACAGGTAAAGCTTAGAAAACATCATTCAAAGGGAGGTTTTAATTGGCAACTGTGTGCTGAGTAAGGGGGATTTAGATTTGCAGGCTGACCCCGCTTGGGGAAAACAGGGGGCCTGCTCCCAAACAGGCAGATGGCCCTATGTTATTTTGGGGGGGTACTCATTCCAATTCAGGATTACATTTCAGAAATTCTTTATTTCCTTTTCTTTCTTCTGTTTTGATCATGTCCCTATTTGCCTCAGGTTGGGGGAGGGCATGGAATTTGGACCTGTTATTAGTAATAATAAATTATGCAATAATAAATAAATAAATATGTCATAGTAAAACAATGTGAAAAGGAAAGCGTGCACGGATTTCTCAAGGATCCCACCACCGCTATCCTATGTTCCTATTCAACTCCCCAGCAGAATGGGTTATTTTTTTTCTAAGTAACTCTAGAAGAAAAGTACAAATTGTGTGTTTGTGTGTGTGTGTGTGTGTGTGTGTGTGTGTGTGTTTTAAAATAAAGAATCTCAGACAAGTGGCCAAGTAGTGACACAGTTCAGTAATCCTAGCACTCAGGAGGTTGAAACAAAAGGGCAGTTTCAAGGCAACCTTGTGCATAGCAAGACATTATTTCCGAAAAAGCTAGCAAGAACAAACAAACAAAAAACAAAGAAACAAAAAAAATAAATAAAAAGGATGAATTAGTCTCAAAAAGCTAATTTTTAAAAAAATAAAATAAAGCAAAAACTATCTTTTTTCATTTTACATACCAATCCCAGATTCCACTCCCTCGCCTCCTCCAATTCCCTTCACCCACCCCTCCTTAACACACACCCCTATACATTCCTCAGAGACATTAAGGCGTATTGCTTTGGGGAAGGTCCAAGGCCCTTCCTACTATATCTAAGCTGAACAATGTATCCATCCAAAGAAAATTGGTTCCCAAAAAGTCAGTACGAGCAGTAGCATAAATCCTGGTGCCACTGCCAGGGACTCCACAGTCTGCCCCAGCCGTGCAACTGTCAACCACATTCAGAGGGACTAGTCCTAGAGAAGCTAAGTAACGAAATGAACCCTAAGAAAAACATTCATAGATGGATATGGGGAAATAGACAAGATCGCCTGTCAAAATTGGGAGTATGGGGTAGCAGGAGAACGGAGGGTGGAAGGGAGGTGGAGGGGAAGAAGAGGAGAAGGGAGGAGAACTTGAAGGAATGGGATAGTCAAGATGGAGGAAGGACAGAGATGAGAGCAAGGAAGGAGATATCTTGATTGAGGGAGCCATTATGGGACTATCAAGAAACCTGACACTAGAGAAATTTCCAAGAATTCACAAGGATAAGCCCAGGTAAATATATTTTTAAGCAATGTTTTGCTCCTGACAATAAGTATTTTATTTACGTATTAATTCAGATTTTCTTTGCTGTGTGAAGTGTAGAAATTCATTGTTCATATGTTAGCGGAATGGTTAATTCTGTTTGTTTTTTATTGTAAGTAATGTAAAACTTCCGTTTTTAGATGGCATCTACTCTCCACTTAGAGTTATCTTTTAAAATTTAATGTTTGGTGGCATCTTTTATTTTATTTTTTTCTTCTCATGTGAATGTGTTTGTATTGTGTAATGCATGTGTACACTTATGCTTGTTCTCACGTGCATTGATATACACGTTTGAGCAAGCACACATGTGCATGTATGTTGAGGTTCAAAGTTTATATTTGGAATTTCCTTCTGTTTTTCCTCACCTTGATATCTAATGCAGGGTCTCTCAGTTGAACCTAGAGTCTGTTGATATTGCTAGTCTAGTTAGCTAATTTGCTTCAAGGATCCTTGTCTCTGCCTGTGTGTTCAAATTAGTATGGCTGCCCCCTGCCCCTAACATGTGAGTGCTGGGGTTCCAACTGCCAGTCCTCATGCTCTCAGGGCAAGCACTTTAGCAGTTGAGCCATCTCTCTAATGGCTGGCATGTGTTTTGAATATTTATATGTTAAATAAAATTCAAACCAAGCCACCTTCCCTTCTTTTCCTTTCCTAGCACAAATAAGAATCAAAGTGGCTGACTATGATGGGTGATGAGATGGGTTGGAGAACTCTATGGACAGATGGGTCTATGGGTCCAGAATCTAGGGCATGAAATGGTCATGGATAGGTACAGAGCAATGCAGAGTAGGTAGCCAGCAAGATTGGGGGATTAATAATAAGCACAAAAAGAAACTCAAGACAATAAGCAAACATTTACAAAATAAGATATATTTAAAGCTATACATGTTTATGATGTGTGTGCACTTACGTGTGTGTGTGTGTGTGTGTGTGTGTGTGTGTGTGTGTGTAAGAAGACATTAATAACAAATGAGCACATTGAGTGTCCCTATCTGTCTGGGTTTCTTAAAAATATACTCAACTAAAACATACCAGGGTGTTCTTGAAGAAGTGACTGATTCTAGAAGGGATAGAGAAAGGGGGAAAATGTAAGATAAGCCTAGGGCAGATGAGATGACTCACTGGGAAAGCACTTTCAGTTAAAACATAGGACATGATGTCAATCCCTAGCACACATGTAAGAAAAATTTGGGGTATGGTTACATGTATAAGTGCCTTAACACAAAACAGTCTCTCCCTTTCCCTCCTCTTCTCCATCTTTTCTCTCTCTGTGTTTGCATTTCTATCACACACACACACACACACACACACACATACACTATTCATACAAGAGAGGTCTAGAACATCTTTTTGGACCAGAATGTAAGGAAATGCTGAGTGATAAAATGCCAACAAGACAGAAACCCCAGGTTCAATTGACCCCCATCGCCAAAAATGGGGATTTTTAATCATCAAAATAATAACAGTGGTATCTTATAAACTGTTGGGTAAAATAAGAAGTCATAAGTTGTCAATATCTTTAGATAAATGAACACACCACAAAGACAAGAGCGTTTTCCCCTAGAGTAGAATGTCATTTGGTATATATATACGAACAGCAGCCACAAAGAATCATTTGACAACCATCGTAGAAGTAGTTGAAACAGGCAGGAATTTGTGTGTAAACTCAGAAAACCTTCCTACACGCTGCCCACCAGTCACAAGAGGAGAAGAGCCAGGTAAACACCATTGCGCAGTGGGTGTTGATGGAAGGAGGAGATTAGCAAATACAAGATGCAACAGACCTTACCCAGCCTGGCTGGACATCAGTGACACTTGTACCCATTTCTGATGGTTCTTTTATCCATTTGAATACTTCTCCAAATGGAGATGCGTGATGTCCTCAGGAACCCCATTTTCCTGTTGGAAAGATCCAATGATTAGAAAGTCCTGCTCAGCAGAAGTAAAACAGTCCTGTTTCTCTTTCCTTTCTGCTGCGGGGAAAATGCAAAACAATAACCTTCATGGGTCTGGGAGCTCCTGTCCCACTCCTCTTGATGTCTCTTTCTTGTACTGAACATTCCCAGTGACGTTTGCTGTTTAAATGCACTTGACTCTTCAGCAGTATGTGTGCACTAATCTGTCAGGGACTCCAAAAGACTCTAGTGGCAAGCTGTGCCCCGACTAATGCAAAATACAGCCGGATTATTACCTCCTTAAATTGGAATAGCACAGGCAATGAGTGCAGCGTAAGACTGCATTAGCTTTCTTTGGCAGTTACATGGATTCTTCACATAATGAAACACTCATCTTGTCTTTGGGCATTGCCAATCTGGTAGAATATACTGAGGTTGCTAAATTTTATTTTTTATTGATTTTTATTTAGCTCTCCATTTTTCTCTGCTCCCCTCCCTGCCTCTCCCCTCCCCTTCAACCCTCTACCAAGGTACCCATGATCCTAATTCACTCAAGAATTCTTGTCTTTTTTACTATCCATGTAGATTAGATCTATTTATGTCTCTCTTAGCATCCTCATTGTTGTCTAGGTTCTCTGTGATTGTGATGTGTTGATTGGTTTTTTTGCTTTATGTTTAAAAAACACTTATAAGTGAGTACAAGTGATAATTGTCTTTCTGGGTCTGGGTTACCTCACTCAATATGATGTTTTCTAGCGTCACCCATTTGCCTGCAAAATTCAAGCCTTCGTTATATTTTTCTGCTGTGTCATACTCCATTGTGTAAATGTACCACATTTTCATTGTCTATTCTTTGGTTGAGGGGCATTTAGGTTGTTACCAGGTTCTGGCTATGACAAACAATGCTGCTATGAACATAGTTAAGCACATGTCCTTGTGGCATGATTGAGAATCCTTTGGATATATACCCAAAAGTGGTATTACTGGGTCTTAAGGAAGGTTGTTTCCTAATTTTCTGAGAAATTGCCATACTGACATACAAAGGGGCTGTACCAGCTTGCATTTCCACCAGCAATGCAGAAGTGTTCCCTTTACCCCACAACCTCTCCAACATAGGTTGTCATCGGTGTTTTTGATCTTGGCCATTCTTACAGGTATAAAATGGAATCTCAGAGTTATTTTGCTTTGCATTTCTTTGATGACTAAGGATGTTGAACATTTCCTTAAGTGTCTTTTGGCCATTTTAGATTGCTCTGTGGAGAGTTCTCAGTTTAGGTCTGTACTCCATTTTTTTATTGGGTTATTTGTTCTTTTGATGACAAATTTCTTGAGTTCTCTGTATATTTTGGAGATCAAACCTCTGTCTGATGTGGGGTTAGTAAAGATCTTTTCCCATTCTGTAGGCTGTCATTTTGATAAATTTTAAAAGTACAGCTTTTTGTATTATCCCTGTTAAATTTCATCCTAGATTTAAAAAAGAAAAAAGAAAAGAATGCATGGCCCAGTTTGAGTCACTAAAAATCTTGATTTTCATCTAATATTTAGGACATATTTTTTCATATATATCTTACAAAGAATTGATAAATTAGTTTATCCAACATTGATTCTATTTTTATTGAAATATAGGGGCTAACTACAAAGTGTTGAAGATTGCCTGCAAGCATGTGACCTCTAGGATTATTGTCATCATCCATCAGAAGCCTTTGCTGTGACATTTAACCATTATTAAAAGCAGGTCTCTGTCCATGTTCCCTTACATCATTAATTGTAAACTATTAGTTCTTTGGCATGTTCTAAGACTTTGAAGAGTCCCATATTTTTAGCTCCTTCCTAAAAAAGAAATAATAATTTTAAAAAGAGAAGGCATAATCCTACCAAAAGACGTTATCACAACCATCACAAGAAATTTGATACAGATGATTCAAGATGAGTTAACACTTGCACACATACACACACTTTCTTACATAAGCACCAAGTGAGTCTCCTTAGCACTGTGATTGAAATGAGAAGAAATTTCTGTGAGACAATGATCTTGTATTGGTTTAATAAAACACTGATTAGAGGCAGCACGACCAGAATAGGAGAATTCTGGGTAGAGAAAAGGCTCAGTCTGCAGTTTTCAACCAGACCCAGAGGACACAAGATGAGAATACCTCACTGATAAAAGGTACCAAGTCACGTCGCTAAAACAGACAAGAATTATGGGTTAATGCAAGGTATAAGAGTTAATAAGAAGCCTGAGCTAATAGATCAACCCGTTTATAATTAATGTAGGCCTCTGTGTGTTTCTTTGGGACTGAACGGCTATGGGACAGGGCAGGACAGACCTCTGTCAACAAGAAATTATAAAGTGAAGTGGAAGATGTGACATGCAGAAAACAACATCAAAACTAGAATCATTGGGCTTAGGGAGATGGTTCAGTGGGTAAACAGTTTGCCATACAAACATGAGGACCTAAATTCAAATCCCCAAACACACATAAAGCTGCATTGTGGTGTGCTTATAATTCCAGAACTTCTGCTGTGTGATAGGATGTAGGGATAGAAGGCACCCCAGAGGCTCACAGGACAGGAGGCAGGTGTGTACAGACTAATAACAAAGACACCTGCCTCAAACAAGGTAGAAAGCAAAGATTGACACCCAAAATTGTCTCTTTTACCTCTACGTGTATACTAGGTACGTACACACCTATGCTCACCCACTATTAAAAAATAGTTTTTAAATGGGATTAGTGCCTTTTAATTAGTGTATATTCACTGAAAAATGATCCATTTTATTATGACTTTTTTATACGTGTGTATCATTGGTAATGTTCAATCCACATTACCCTCTCAAGTCCTTCCCTGCATTCTTTGTTTTTCTCTTCCTTTACACAACATATCATGTATATATATTCACACACACACACACACACACACACACACACACACACACACACTGAGACATGGTGTCTCTATAGTCCTGGATGTCCTGAAACTCACTCTGTAGACAAAAATGCCCTTAAATTCATAGATATCTGGCTGCCTCCGCCTCCTATGTACTGAGATTAAAGGAGTATAGTACCTGCCCAGCTTTTTATATGCCATTATGACTATTATTAAACCTAGATTCCATACCCAAGAGAAAACATGTGGATACCTGTCTTTATGAGGCTGGCTTATGCAGCTTTACAAGATGGTTCCATCCATTTCCCTTCAAATAGTGTAATTTTGTTCTGTTTTTATGACTAATCAAAACTCCATCCATATTTTCTTTATTCTCTACCCATTCATCTGATAATGGACAGCTAGGTTGATTTCATAACCTCACTGTTGTGGGGAGTGCTTATTTCATAAGCAAAGTTGTATAGGTATTTGACCAAAACTGCTTGTTTCTACAGATAATTCTAATTCAGAATGTCTTTGCCAGCATCTTCAAGTCAGCATATAAAATGGCTTGGATATGTATCATCATGTTCACATCCATTTGTTAATCTGATTGTCTAAGTGTCTAATGATTAACTGTTCCTTGTGCTTGTTAAAGCTGGAACAAAGCACTTGGTTTATTTAGAAAACACTGCAGGAAATAAAACAATTTCCATAAACTCTTAGTAGCTTCAGCAGTTAGTAAATAAATGTCAGTCAGCATCAGTGTTCTAGGGTCCTGGATCGGTCACTCTCCATGTTGAAAACAGAAAACACCTACAGAACATTTGTTCCTGGGTGTTGTTGGTCCTACTTACTGTTGTCACATAATTTGCGACCGGATTCAAACAGCATCTTGAGCTCGAACTACCTCTGAGAACTCTGCGCATGGAACAATAGTGAGAGTAAGTTGTCAAAACAAAAGTCATAAATGCAGGTCCTTCGTGATCTTGATGGATTAAAACCAAAGGAAGGGAGACAGTTTGTTTTGGCAAGAAGCCATCTGTTTATTTGTGTACAGCAGTTGTATTCAAATTTAAGGAAATTAATCAAAAGCATCAGAATTCCTAACACAGTAGATGAGAGTTGCTGAAAAAGTAAACACTGATAAAACCCAAGGACCTAATGAGGTTTTCAAACACCTTAGTTTAATCTTCTCCAGTCCCTAGGAGACCTCTCTGCTGTGTGGACATGCATGACTTACTTCGCATTGATCATTGCTACTGCAGAGCTCAGAGCATGAATTGGCAACAAGCACCAAATTGATGAATTAGCTATTGTCAGTACTACAACAGGGCCAGAATGATCCTGTATATAAGAAATCCAGCTGATCATTGGTTAACAAGCATTAGAGTTTCATTAATAAAAATCTGTCCCAGATCCCTGAATGTGTTGGGAATGTGACTCAGTGCTACAGGGTATGCAAAGTCATGAGGTCAATTTTCAACACAAAAGAAGAGAAGTTACACAAAGACAAAACACACACACACACACACACACACACACACACACATGCAATTTTAAACACTTGTAGACTTTGAGATTTGTGCAGACTCCTTGGTGATAACCCAAATGTCAGGTTTCAAGTACCTGGACAGAGTTTGGTATGTAGACTTCCCACTAAAGGCAGTATTTTAGGGCTCACTGCCAGTTACCTCCTTTTACAGCACTCTTTGTATCCTGTGGCAGAAACTCTTAGAATCCTTTCAGCACTTAACCGTCTTCAGTACTCTACACATAATGAAGGCTGCAAATTGCTGTCTTTTGCCCTTAGCCTTGCAATCTGAAAGATTTGTGCATGGATTTCATAGTCTCAGCTATATGAAGGCAGGCAGAAGAGTACAACACACAGCTCCTTAGCCACTATTGGGAAGCAGTCCTCTTGTCTATTAGACAGATAATAATGGTATTTATTATGAATAAATGAGATTAAACTATGCAGAGTGCTAAACAGTGCTGAGGGGTCTTGGGATTGATTGTCATTATTCCATCTGCCTCCTCCATCCATATACGATGTCCTTGAAAGACTTTGTAAACGCACACTTATGTGTGCACCAGTATATTGTACAAGATCTGCACAGGTTTAAACCAGACACAGTCCTAACAGAGAGAGCGGAGCAGACATGGGTTCCCACCCCAAACCAAGAAGTTATTTGCAAATGATATTCACTGGCAAAAGGAAAATCAGTTTTCTCCAATGGATTGTATCAATAACACCCCATGGGGCAGGCCCCATGCCCAGGAGTAGTTGTCCAACAAAAACAAAGTTCATGGTTTGTTGTGTTTCAGGTGTGTGTGTGTGTGCACATGCGTGGGCACGCGAGTATGCAATTTTGTTCTGTTTGGACAGTTAGTGTCTTGTTGGTCCTTTGTTTTGATTTTGGTTCTGGTCTTTTTGGGGTTTTTTGTTTGATAGATTTTTATTTTTTACTTTGAAAGAAAGAGAGAAAGAACATAAATCTGTTGGGTAGAGAATGGGAAAATCTCAGGAGAAGTTGGGGGAGCAGAAAACATAAACAAAATGTGTAAAATTTTTAAAATAAAAAATGTCTTACAATATAACTCAAACTATATCCCACAATATATGCAGATATTGTCAATTAGGAGAGTAAAAACCAAAGTTTTCCCGCCATGAAATATGATTTTGAAATTCTTACCAGAGATTTTTTTTAAATTTAATTAGTTTACTTATTTTGTGCCCTGACCCGTTTCCCCTCCCTCTTCTCCTATCCTTCCTCAAAAACCCTTCCCTCCTCCCCTCAATCCACTCCTCCTCTGTTTCTGTTAGAAAACAGACTGGCTACACATAGGTATCAACAAAACATGACGTATCAAGTTGCAGTAAGACTAAGCACCTCCCCTGTATTAAGGCTAGGTAAGGCAACTCAGTATGATGAATAGGTTAACAAAAGCCAACCTAATAAAAGAAGCCCTGCTTCCTTTATTAGAAGTCCCATAAGTAGACCAAGCTACACAACTGTCATCTATATGTAGAAAATCAGTCCCATGCAGGCTCCCTGGTTGCTGGTTCAGACTCTGTGAGTTCCTATGAGCCAGGTTAGTTGATTCTGTGCGTTTTCTGGTGAAATCCTTGACTCCTCTGGCTCCTACAACCCTTCCTCCCTCTCTTCAGCAGGATTCCCTGAGGTTGGTCTTACCTTTGGTTATGGGTCTCTACAGGATGAAGGCTCTCTAATGACAATGGAGTAGTTACCAATCTGATCATAGGAAAAGGCCAGCTCAGGCTAAATATCCACTATTGTTAGGAGTCTTAGCTGGGGTCATCCTTGTGGATTCATGGGAGTTTCCTTTGTATCAGGTTTCTACCTGATCCCGAAATATCTCCCCTTCCAGTCATCTCTTTCAGTACTTACCTCTCCACTCCTGACCTGATCCCTCAAATTCCCATCCTTGCCTGCCCCCAATCCACTCAAGAGATCCCTTCGATGTCCCCTTCCCAGGGAGGTTCATGTGTCCCCCTTGACCCTCCTTGTTGCCTGGCCTGTGAGTTTGTGGATTGTCACATGGTTATCCTTTAATTAATGCCCAATATCCACTTATGAGTAAGTATATATCTTGTTTGTCTTTCTCAGTCTGGGTTACCTCAACTCAGGATGATATTTTTTCTAGTTCCAGCCATTTCTCTTCAAATTTCCTGATGTCATTGTTTTTAACAGCTGAGTAATACTCCACTGTGTCAATGTGCCACATTTTCTTTATCCACTTTTTAGTTTTAGAGGCATCTAAACTGTTTCCAGGTTCTGGTTATTACAAATAAAGTTACAATGAACATAGTTGAGCAAATGCCCTTGTGGTATGGATGGGCACCCTATATATATGTCCAATAGTGGTATAGCTGGTTACTGAGGTAGATTGAGTCCCAATTTTCTGAAATGTCATATCGATTTCAAAAGTGGCTGTAAAAGTTTACACTCCCACAAGCAATGGAGAAGTGTTCCCCTTGCTCCACATCCTCTCCAGCATAAGATATAACTTGTGGGTTTAATCTTAGTCATTCTGGCAGCTGTTCTTTGCCTTACAGAAGCTTTTCAGTTTTATGAGGCCCCATTTATTCACTGTCAATCATAATGTTTATGCTATTGGTGTTCTAGTCAGGAAGTCGTCTCCTATGCCAATGTGTTCAAAGCTATTTTCCACTTTATCTTCTATCAGAGTTAATGTAACTGGATTTATTTTTGAGGTCTTTCATCATCTTCGACTTGAGTTCAGTGCAGGGTGATAGGTATGGATCCATTTGCAGTCTTTTACATGTTGACATTCAGTTATGCCAGCACTATTTGTTGAAGATGCTTTCTTTTTTTTTTTTCCATTGTATATTTTTCCTACCAGAGCGATTTTGACCCAAGGAGTTCTTTTAATAAGTGTTTATATATCTCACAGACTGAAACATAGTCCTACAAATATGAAAGATACTTAATTTTTGTTCTCTCTATTGTTGATTATGGTGGTAGCTTTGATTTAATCTTGCTTGCAATTATTCACTTTGGTTTACTTTATGGACATTTGATGAGTGAGACTGAATATAGATTTCATTCAGGAGGCATGTACCTGGGCACTATGTTGAATCCATATTGCTTATTATTATTGTACTATCTGACATTATTTATGAAACCCTGTAGTATTGTAAAGAACCACATGTGGGTTGGAAGTTGACAAATCTCTGCTAAGAAATCCTGTTACAACCCTGAAGCATAACTGATAGAAACTCAGAGACAGAAATTGGGGTTTGACCTAAAGATCAGAAAAGCAAAATGGCCTGTCACTGGCTCTTACCTCAACCTCAGTTAGAAAATGGTGATCCTGCCTCCAGGAAATCTCAGACTGAGACTGTGACTGTGAGCTGTCTCCTCCTGTCTTATATTTCTCTCTAGGACTGGGATTAAAGTCATGCAACACTGGGATTAAAGCCATGCACCACCCAGTTTCTGTGGCAACTAATGTGGCTGCTGGGATTAAATGTGTGTGTTACCAGTCGTGATCTGTAAAGTTAACAAGTGGGGCTGTTTTACTTTCTGATCCTCAGGCAAGCTTTTATTTATTGAAATACAAATGAAATGCCACTACACAACCCAATTACAACAAAAAATGTAAAGAGTAACATTGAAAACTAACATTCTTTTAAAAATATTTGTTTCAATTATATACGTATGTTTGCATGGGTGTGGGCAGAGTCAGTAGATACCCCTGGACCTAGAGTGGCAGGTGGTTGTCACCTCAATCTGGTCCTCTGAAAGAATACATGGTCTTAAATACTAAGCCACCTCTCCAGACCCCAAGTAATATTCTTTATTTTGAAGACACAATATACAGATTTTACCTTCCTCATGATATTCATTACCTTTATGATTATATTTGTAATAAAAGTCCTTAAAATGACTACTAGTTTCAAAGTAGAAAGCTATAAATTGATATATTATGCAGATTATAAAATAGCTTCATGAAGATACAAGCAAATGCATATTAAGTTGGAAGGAATGGGGTACTTTATCTGCACCAGATGTAAGAAATAAATCAATGGAAAAGAATAAAGGAATAGCCTCAATTCTACCTCGGAATAATCTTAGAACTTCTTTGGTTTGTGAGGTTGGCACTCCGAACCCTGAGGCTTAGTATGAAACGGGACAGGAAAACATTGTGCAGAGTCTGAGAATCAGCTTTTTGTTGTGGACATTAGGGAGCAGGGAGGACCTGGTGAAGCCAGGCCCAGAAACTGCTTTTTCTTTTCTTTCTTTCTTTCTTTTTCTTAATAAACTTCAGGGTGAGACTTAAAGACAAATTGCCATTTTTTTTTTTTTTGGTGGGGAGGTGGACTTGGTTCCAGAGTTTGTGATGGCTGTTAGCTCATTTCTGAGTTCCACGGG